ATTCTATCGCGATATTTCATTTTCCTATAGTTGCCTAACATTATACCGGTATTACCGTGAACGGTATAATATGGCCCAGCCCTAGACAGGGCCAACTTGAAACCTGTAACTGAAAATGTTTGTTAGGTCTTTCTCATGCCTCCTTCATAAATTGCATGAACAAACACCCTATCTTATGTCAATTAATAGTTTTCTTCACTCCATTAGTAACAAGTACTCGCCTCAAAGTTGAGAATAGTTTTATCTGTGTGGATACCACCACATTGCATCACTACTAGTGTGTTCAAACAAAATGCAACGTGAAGTTTACATCCACAGTCTTTTGGAAAGAGGTGAACTGACAAAAGCTTGTGTTGTCCAATATGAAAAGATCAGTAATTCTCCGGTTCTTTGGCAAAAAAGTTGCTTTGTGGTGCAATATAAAGACTCCTCAGCTGGAATTCTCTCATAGACTGCGTATTCTCCTAATGCAAGAATCTAAAATGTAGGGCAACCTTATTGATGTAGGTTGAGGCCATATGTAGCTGTAGGATTAAACTTGACCTTTATGTAGAGATGGGGGGGAAAGTGAGAGCAGTTGGACCAAGACGGCAAGAGAAAATAATCAACCTTTATAAATTGTATTCCTTTTGTAGAATGTTAGGGGCGAATATTCATGAGTTTCCAGGGATGTGCACATATTGTGTCCTAGCAGACTAATCAACACTGTTGTCACTAGTCAGTACCAGAGTTACTAGTGGTTTAATCTAATTGTTACATTTTAATTGGTGCTCCAAAAGGTCGATGGCCTCTCTCTTAGCGATAGGGTGACGGCTAAAGCTGTCGCCTCCTTGACAAGGTGTTCAGACGGGCACGTCCTACTAGGAGGAGGCCCCAGTGTATACCTGGGACACACTTGGAGAGATGGCTCAATGTTTCCCAGGATAAGTTGGAGGAGGTGGCGGATCGTGGAGGCAGGACTTCTCTGCTCCTCCCTCCGCGAGCCGACTTCAGATAAGCGGGGGAAAAAATGGCTGCATAACTTGTTGTTTTGTTATTTTAGATTTGAACTGTTATTGAAGTGGTTGCCATGGTGCGTGCATCATTCATAAAGCATGGCTCAATGTGCCACACTTTAATCACATTTGAATAGTTTTTTAGTTATTCATTTGTTACATTTTAGTAATGAACATCTTGTCTCATCTTACGTAGATTTACATACGTAAATTTAAATTAATATTTCAGCGTTTCTTAGTTTTAGACGAGGGGGGTCGAGGTAAGAGTAGGGAATTAAAATGTAGGGGATATTACTGTTAAAGGGGAGAGAGGGATGCTGAGAATGAAGGTGTATGAGAGAATCTGCTCATGGGTTTCCTGACCAAATGTGAAGCTAATTTTTTGCCAAAGTCGAAATATTTATAAATTGAGCAGATGCTCACCTCTGTTCACATCACACAGCACAAGTTTGTGTCAGACGTTCAGCTTTTGTATGGATGTCCCTCAATCTGTCTTCAAGATAAAAATGTCACTAGTGTCCACAGCAGATATATCAAACGTGCCACTGTTGTTTGTAAGTATATTTCCATAATTAAAATGCTTGTTTCTGTCTTTGTTTTATTAGAATTTTACAAATCTATTTGGCCAGCCCCTGGTGTGCCTACTATCACCTACGGTATATCCCAAGACTGTACAAGGTGGGTGTCACTGCAGAACCACACTCCTTTAACCAGAAGACCTAAACGAACTCCATCTTCGTCTGTTTGCCTAACTTCCTCTCTGTGGCTCCGCTGTCTGAGTGTTTTGGTTGAAAGAGAAAGAGGCTTTTAGTCTAATGTTAGTTAGACAAAAGTAAATTCTGGACTGTTTGTAGCAGCTGATTAATCCACATTTAACATGGGTGTCATTGGTATCTACCAGTATTTTTATGTTTGGTAAAGATGCTGCTTTCAGTGGAAGCTTTTCAGGCATTGAATTTCCTTTCAGTTTACAATGTCTCTGCTTCACCTGCTTAGATCAGTCTCAGCGTGGGAGTCTCTTCACTCTGTTCCTCTACAGTCCGCTCTTGGCTTTCTCCTCCGTGTGTGGCTTAAACAGTGTGCAACGAGGTCTTTGGGAAAGAGCTCAAGAATTCCTTCGCAAAGTGTACCGTGACATTGGGCAGATGCTAACACGATCGCGGACCATAGGTATGTTATGGAGATTAGCATGGACTATGAAAGGGTTACTGTGACGACCCATGTGTACTTTATTTGTGACCATCAGGTGAGCTTTGTAGGTCCCTCCATGAAAATAAACTTCTCTCTTTCTTGAGAAGTTTAAATCTATGGTGGATTTAAGGCTGCACTGAAATAAATTGTGATACATTCGTCTTCTGTTGATCGACTTATTTACACATTGTTTAATGCAGATCAAGCCTTTTTGCAGTTCTTTGGTGACGAGTTCCTGCGGCTGCTGTTGATCCGCTTTGTGTTCTGCTCCGCTGCACTGAGACTGCATAAACTCTTTCGGGTAAGTCTGCTTTCCTTAAGGAGCCACATTGTTTAAGTTTATATGCCAACAATGCACCATGCATTTCCACAAACCAGTGTTTCTTAAGCACTTGCAGTAAGTCGTATTTATGCATCATCAGGAGGTCATGTCATGTCAGCAAATACTCAGTAAATGAACCCACTAAAGTCCCCAGATTATTACAGGTTTACAGTTATTGATTATTTTAATAATCAATATTTTAATATTAATTATTCCATCGAGTAACTCAATAAAAAACACTTATGTTATTATGGGGGCAATAATAAATAATATTAATAAATGAGAATAACAGATGACTTTCAAAATAAACTGCTATTTTTTTTAATTTTATAATAGTTTACCTGCATACAATAATTTTTTAACCTTCTCATTGTATTTAAATGCTATTTAAATCATGTATTTTTTAAATTTCTCGTAAATGAAGGAAGCTCTTCTTAACGCTTAAACCTTTGATTCCCACTTTAGAGTGAGAACCCTTCAGTGACCACCAAAGTATTTTTGTCAGGTAGCTAAAACACAATTTGGATGTTTGTGTGCTTGCAGGAATCTCAGAGTTTCCCGGAATCCTATCCAGAGCTCCCCAAACAGGACACAGTGGAGAGCAGCCTTCTACAGAAGCATATTTTGGAGCTGGCGACCATGCTGGACGTGCAGAGCTTATTTTGGGATGATTCACTGGAAGCCTACTAACATCTTCACACAGGGCAGTATGGCGTATATGTAAATACAGACTCCACTGCCAAAGCCCTCATGGTCATTTTGTTTTTTAACAGGTAATGAAAAAAAAAAAAACCCAACATGCAAGTTCATGTCCTCCATGTAAGTGTTAATGTCATGCAACAGAAAGATGTTCACATAGTTTCTTCTCATAAATTCCCCATTTTGACTCTCATTGGCTTGCCTGGTAAATATGAGCAACATAAGAGTAAAACAAATGAGACGCTCCACATTACTGTTCAACTTACTAGTTCTTGTTTATCAGCTTCTAACTTTTTTCATGACAGCAGACTATCATCAAGATGATAACAGCCTTGGTAGTTTGTTGTAAAAAGATTTTTCATCATTTATTAACGTAAAGGAACAAAGAAAGGAAACATTCTTGGCAGCTTTCGTGTGGTTTTTGATCCACCTGTAAAAAAGACAAGCATGGTAGAGCTAAAAATGCATCAGGAAATGTAACAGTTATTATATGAGTTTTGTGTTTGCCAAACAGCGCTTGGTGTATCAACTTGCAGCACGCTAAAGGTGCATGAGGTTTTGTTTCGCCACATGTTGTGAGTTAGTCGCTTTCATATCATTAACAAACTAATTCGGAGACTTTTTTTTCAGCCTTGTGTGACGTGATAGTGCTTCATTTCCCATTTCACTGTGCTGTACTTGCATGCTAAAAAAGGCAAAGACGTGTGTCAGTTAGTGTGCTCCAAAGAGGATGCTCCACCACACAAAAGAAATTGTAGATGTTCAGATGACTTGGAATGAGAAAGTAAAGGGAAGTAGTGCATGTGTTGCATGGGCCTGTACAGTTTAGTTAGTCAATTGGTGAAGACAATCTAGTGAGAGGTGGGAGAGGTGGTGACCTGTCAGAGGTTCAAATTGTTGTGCTTTCTGATAACACAGATCGTTACTTTTATTACTGAAATGGCTAGGCACCTGTTATCTTCATGACGACAGCATTAACGTGTGGCCTGCCACCTAATCAGAACATTCTTAGCTGCTTTCTTATAAAGCACAAGAAATACCAGTCGTGCTCCTCTCGCTATGTCCTTAAGTCATTGTTGTCACCATACTGGCTGGTGGCTTTCACTCCTTTAAGCTCAAAGATGGTTCCAGGCAACTTTGCACCGCAGGAATTCAGGGCTGCCCCAAAAGTTGACTATGAATGCCAATTTATCAGGATCCTAAAAGCAAAACTTATGGCTTTCTGGATGAGCTTTGTTTCTACCCTTGCCTGTGGCCCCAAGCTGCAGGGAGTGACTTCAGAGATTATAGCCCAGAGCTTCCTTTGAACCAACTGTGGTGTCTCGTGGCGATAACCCGCATTCACACTGGAAGTGATTCCTACCAACATATCGATGAGAAACCACAGAAGGTGAACAGTATTTAGTGACTATGGGTTTAAAAACATGCTGGCGACGCAACTTCCAGGTGAGCGACTTAAATGACCACCAATGAGAATGAAGAATACTGTTGATTGACAAATGACCTGGTATTAAATACATTAGAGGCTCACCTAAGTGATCGGGCATCAGCTTCAATGCAATGTGCAGCGAATGAGTCAGTCAGAAGAGCCTCAGAGTACGGCTTCTGCTCCTCCACATCGAAAGGAACCACGTGAAGTTGTTCCAGCATTTGACTAGATGCCTGCTAGGTGAGGTGCACGTCTTACAGGGAGAAAAAACCATGACAGTCCCAGGACCTGCTGGAGGGACGAGCTTCCCTGCAATCTCTGCCAAAACTACAGCCTTCAAATCCTAGACTCATAGATGGATATTAGAATCCCTATTAGCTGTGTCTTAAAGGAAAGCTAATCTTAGTGGGGTCCAAACCTACATTAATATCAAATCCATATGAGAACTTGCATAGCACAGTACTAAAACTTCATAAAAGCATACATAAATGTATAAAAAAGAGCCATTTGACATATCTGCGATCAGTTATATTAGTGTCTGTTGCAAATTTTGCACATTTGTTTGTGCTTTAAAAGCATTAGACTGCTATGTATAGACTTTGGCTTTTGTTGTTGAAATCTTAGAGTTTATCCAGTGAGTGAGTCCCCAGTAGGTTGTAAGGGCTGCTAATGCAGTAGGTTTGTTAGCGATCCTGGAAACTGTAGCAGTTCAGAATGAATACTAAAGAGAATGCTGCACTAGACCAGCCTGCGAGTTCCTGCAGTGGAAAACCGCCTCCCGTTTGCCATTAAATGTTTAATTCTCAATTCACAATCTGTCTCTCACAGAGGCTTGGAGGAATTTTAGCTCAATTTTACCTCCAACTTATTGGTAGCTTTCTTTGTTTGATTATTTAATTGTCTTTTAGAGAAAACGTTTGATGTTTTTGGTCACATTTCAGTCGATTTTGAAAATCCTGAAGGATTCACAAACTGAAATGCATTCATTGTTGATTTGGTCTTTTTATGTGATTATTTGTGAATAGAAGTGTGTATATATATATATAGTATATAACATCACCAACCAGTTCCATTGAAACCTCTAACATCTAAGAGGTATTAGCTAAAAAGAAAAATTGTCTTTATATTCAAACTTTCAGTATTACATTGGCTAATATGCATGCCTCATATCTTTAATGTAGTGGGGCAGATGTAAAAGGTCCAAAGGTTTATCAGGAACTGCTGTCGATTTATTCCTGGCAGCAGCAGGGGAAAGTGACTGCACATGGCTGCTGAAATTTACCTGCACTTGTTGAAATGTTGGAATGATACAGCAATGCAAGAAGCAGCTGGTTGAAATGACATTTGACTTTTTAGTGTTGATTTTTTTGTTATTGCCACCATTGGAGTGTGCACACATGATGTATAATAGTGTTGCGCAGAGATGTGTTTGTTCAGTATTTTGCAAGACTATGTAATCCATAATGAAATATGAAGTTAAAGCGAGGAGGAGCAACATGGTAAAGAGGCCAGTTTGTTCTTTGACCATTTTTCTCTAGTTACATTCCAGCTTTCCGAGGATGTGAAGAGAGGCAGAGGACGAGTGTTTTCTCAGTGTTACATTTGTCTATGGAAGTCAGCTGTTTCTACATTTTCTTTTCTTTTTACCGTAATGTGTTTCCTGTATTGACAGTTATGACATTTAAAATATTGTAGGCTTGCACTTTATGAGATTTAATGTTCTTCTGATCTTGTTAGTTGTTCTTTAGTCCAGAAATTGAAAAATACTTTCATGTTGTTGTTCTTCATACCAGCCCTACACACTGGTGACCTTCTTTCTCTTGAAGAGTAAAAGTTACGTGGGTCACTGATTTTAAACTTTTCATCTTTTGTCATGTTTTTAATAGCAGTTGGCTGTATTAAGTAGGCAGCAATAACATGTCATTTACATGTGTGAAAAAGAATGAGAAAGATTTCTGTGGTGCTCAAACGTAATGCTGTTGGTGTGGATTGCAATACCAATGATGTTTTCTAACACTTTGTATCAATGGTACACAGTAAATCCTCAAACACTGCATACTGACAAATTTGTCAGGTACTATTCCAAAAGTCTTGTTTCTGTGTTGTTATAACTTCTTACTGTACATTCAGTTCTCAGAGCTCAAAAGATCTCTGAAAAGGTTCAACACTTTGGCCTGCTGACACAAAATTAGCATTTTTCTATTGGAAAATAACCCCAAACACAAACTGCTGCTGCCCCTTCATCGGAATTATAACGACGAAATCTGATAAATAAAAGAAACGAAGAACGTAACTTTGAGCTCCTGTTAACCGTTTGTGGAACTTCTGTTTCTGTTGTTCATGTTCAAAACATCACCACAAATGCAACATTTGTTATGTAGCAGCACTTGGATCATTGATGCAAACAGTGTGTATTATTTAAAGTTGCCTCTCACAGATGTTTCCTGAAACTTGTTTTTTTTTTGGGGGGGGGGGTTCATGTTGCAGTCAATTTTATACTACTCTACCCAGCAGCGTATGAAGCATGGTGCGATAACATGTTTATAACATTCTGTATGATGGAAATGGGTCGTGAGTCACATGATTTAATGGCTATGTGAAGACTAGATTGTTAAAATGTTTTTTGAGGTAAATTCACTGCACTATTTATTTATTTATTTTTTTAAAACAATAGAACAAAAAGCCCATCATTAGTTCACGCAAAATAACAGCTATGTTAAATAAAATGTCAAGTTGTGTAAACAAGGTACTAAAATTGTATCACTAAAATAGCTTCTGTGAACAAAATATTAACAAGCTCACCTTGTATGATATGTATGAATTTGATTAAATAAGGTAGCTTGTGAGAATGAAATATTTACAGATTATACAATTATGCAAACAACATGTTGCAAGTTGTGCAAACAAATTACTAAGAAGGTGGATTCTGTGAGACGGATGGAACTTTTACAGGCATAATATGACCAAGATGACTCGTGTGGGAAACATCACTGCGTAAACGAGAGACTGTCACAGTACATGCTTTACATCCTTTACATCCTTTACATCCTTTGGTCGGTGTTTTTAGGAGGATTTAAATACTACTAGTAATGAACAAAAACAAATGACACATTATACACTGCAAGTCGAAATGTAAAAGCAGTGTGTGTTACAAGCTAAGTACCCCCTATGATTCAGAAACTCGTAGAACCACGTTTAACAACAATAACTCAAAGTAATCAGAAAGTCCCATCACAGCATTTTAGTCAGGTTGAGGTCTGGACTTTGACTTTTTTCAGTTATTCTGTTATAGATTAGCTGCTGTGTTTAGGGTTAATGTCCTGTTGATGACCCAATTTCATCCAGGCTTTAACTGTCAGACAGATGGCTTCACATTGAAATCTTGAACATTTTGGTATACAGAGCAGTTCATGCTCCACTCAGTGACCGCAAGGTGCCCAAATCATCATCGCTCCACCACCGTGCTGACAGTTGGTCTGAGGTGTTTGTGCTGGTGTTGTGAAATGGAGCTCTTGGGTTTGTTGCAGTGTTTGAAAGATTGACACATGTCTTGAATGTTTTCCACTTGTGAATAATCCGTCAAACAGTGGACAACAGATTGTTTGGAAATGGCCGTTTAACACTTGCCAGGTTGATGGGCAGCAACATTTTCTTATTATAGATCGTTGT